CTATTCCATCTCTTGCTCCTTCCACTCCTCACCCTCCACACCTCCTTCTCCCATCCCATAGTCCAACTGTCTACTTCACACCATGTATATGTTTATAAAAATTTTAATCTAGATTCTGCTCATGAGAAAAAAAACCATGTTGCCTTTCTGCGTCTGAGTTGCTCCACTGAACATCCTGATCTTCAGTTTCCCCCTCTTCCTTGAATGCCATAATTTCATTCTTCATCTCTGACGAACATTCCTTCAGCCGTTCATCTGCTGATGGCCATTGAGACGGGTTTCGTATCTTGGTTATTGTGAGTAATGCAGAAATAAACACGGATGCGGTTCTCTGGCTCTGACTCAGTAGAGTTGGACCATATGGTAGCTCTGCTTTAGAATTTCTTTTGAGGATCTTCCATACTGATACCCACGGCAGCTGCATCAGTTAACACTTCAATCAGCAGTGAATAAAGGTTCATCTTCACCAGCATCTTCACCAGCATCTTCACCAGCGTCTTCACCAGCATCTTCACCGCATCTGTTGGTGTTTCTTTTCTTAAGACAGCCATTCTTGATGGGATGAGATGGAATACCAAAGCGGCTCTATTTGTAATTCTCCAATGGCTAGTGTGTTGCCTGGGGTTCTCTAAAGGAACAAGACTGAGAGAAAATAAACAAGATAAAACAAACAAAGGGGGTATTTATTAGAATGGCTTACAGGCTGTGGTCCAGCTAGTCCAACACTGGCTGTCCACCAACAGAAGAATCCAGTGGTTGCTCAGTCCCTGAGACTGGATTTCTCAGCTGGTCTTCAGTATACACTGCAATCCTGAAGAAGTTAGGTTCTAACGCCAGTGAAGGACTGAACTTACCAGCAAGGTAAGAACAAGCAGCCAAAGAGAGCTGTCCTTTATATAGGCGATCAGCAGAAGGTGTGGCCTGGATCGTAGGTGGATCTTCCCACCTCAAGTGATCTGAATTAATACTTTATAGTCTCATCTCAACAGTTCTGGATTAGAAGTGGGTTTTCCCACTTCAAGTAATCAATTAAGAAAAGATCCTTCCCAGGTGGACCAAGTCCCTTGGATTTCAGTTAATTCCAGATGTAGTCAAGCTGACAACCAAGAACAATCATCACAATCCCCCCACCTTGTGAATCTGACACACAGTCGTATCTCCTATGCCATGATTAATTTCCAAATGAAAACAATAACCAGGTCCTAATTGCACCTAACATGGCGTGACTATCCTACATACAATTGTAAACACATTACACATCTAACCAGGCCACAGTTACATCTAACATGAATTGACTATGCCTTTTACAACCACAAAGACGTAAAAATTTAGAATAGGTGACAATGTCTCTTGAGTGACCTTCTTTTACTATCTCAAACTTAAAGATGATAAACCGATGTTCTCTTAATTGATCCTGCATCATATGGTAAAGAAATAGAGGAAAGAGAACACAAACATCTACACAAATCTATTCTTAACAAAATATGACAGAAACACTCATATCGATTATATCCTTACTACTGTAGCTGGTCACGTAGCCTTAGTGGTTATTGGTAACTATCTTCCTCAACTACCCATTTCCTTCAGAGATTCGATTCTGTTTTTCTCATTCACTATGTTCCCTGGCAGAGCCAATTCTAAAAGCCTCCATTTAGCTCTCCAACCGTAAGAGCCCACACTCCACAGGCCAGGGAACCAATGAGAGAACTCTACCGACTTCTAAGTGAAGCTAGCCCAATTAAGCATTCTGGGATCGAGAAATAACCACAGGATGATTTCTGGGACCCACTGGACCTCTTGTGAGTAGGACTTGAGCCAAAACTCCATTAGCACCAGACCTCCATAAGCCTCTCCGATAACTGGATGGCCGCAATGTTTCTTGGGATCTCCCGGAATCAGCGTCAATTCAGAACCGGTATCCAATAGACTCCTGAAGGTCTGACGGTTTCCCTTCCCCCAGTGTACAGTAACTTTTCCCCTTTAGGGAAGGACTGAGGCAAGGTGAACTGTAAAACTCAGGTATTTTACCAAGGTCCTTCCTCAGGGGAACTCAGTTGGACCTTCATTTTGGGGTTCTGGGTCTGCAAACCGGCTCAAAGTCTGGAAATTGGGTCACAGACCAAAAGTCCCTATGGCCACAATCCAATGTAGGCTTTTTTTTTTTTTCATTTGTTTGAGAATCTTTCCACATATACAGATTAAACAAAAATGTAGAAGGCTTATCTATTTCATGCCCGGAAACACCATGGTCGATTACCCAGTACCAAAGGGGCATACAAGTTGCACTATCATAAAACTTGCATGGCCTGTGCTGACCATGGCGGACGCCTCTTTGTCTGTGCTGTCCATCACGGTAACTACGGTCACTTTGCCTTTGGTGATTCAGCGCTGTCGTCTGGCCCCTGCTTACTCTGGGGCTCACGGCATCTAATTCACCCAAGTGAGCAACAGTGTCTCCGACCCCAGGTCTGGCACAAGGGAAGTGGTGACAACAAAGTTCTTCGAATGTACTGGAGCCCCCTGATCATGTTGCATCTTATAGGATTAGTGAAGGGTGTGTCTTCTGGGCCTCCCCATTGTGGAGGATTGGGTTTTACACAGCATAATCATTCTAGCATTGCAATTTCCCCTGGGCCTTAAAATCCCTTCATCATCACAGCCAAGGGCTCTCAGGCGTCTCCAACTCCTTTTCAGCGGACCATCTTCTGACAAACGCTGCAGCCAACCAGTCACGCGAACTTTTGACACTTTTTCTTTTAAAACTGTGCAAACTTCCACGTTAAACCTAGACTCCCCACTCAGAGGGCTCATCTCAATAAACACCGTGACCCGGGGTTATGTTCTTTGCACCATGATCTCTCACCCTTGAAATTCGTGCCCGCACACATTCCCCAGACTTTTGCCTGCATGAATTAGCAAAGTCATTAAACTCTTCAGTGGTGTAGTGCACTTCCTCAGGAGCCACACTTTTTATCTTCCCTCCAGCAACCTGCTTAGCCTTAAGTCTGCTTATATAGGGCCAGAGGCAGCTATTAGTGGGCCCTAAGCGACATCGGGGTATTGTTTTGCCTGTATTTCCTTCCGAGAAAGTCACCTAACCGAAGGGAGTTAGGACAAAACAAACAAAACAAAAAACAAATAAACAAACAAATAAAAAACCACCCAACTGTCTTGCAGGATACCAAAGTTATTCATAGAAACATTTGATCAAGGACAGATAGATGTGCTAGGATTCAAGTGATGATGGGTTAATTTAAAAACCACCCACTAGTAAGTTCCTTAAAAGAAAATTCTGAGCTTTGAACATCACATATAGTATACACATTTGGTTAAAGCCTCCTTTATCTAAATTGATGATAATTTATTTAGACCTTTAAGAAAAATGAAGATTTTTTTTTTTTTAGAAAAAATGATTTATATTCATTGACTTTAGGGCTGTCAGTGGAAGACTGAAATTACGAAAAAGAAGACAGCTTTTTATTCTAGCTTTGTATGTGTGGCGAGGCAGGGAAGGGAGTGGTGGGGGGGAGGCTGAAATAAGATCTCAGGTAGCAGGGCTAGCCTTGGCCTAAGTCTCTGAGGCTCATGGTGACCTTCTGATTAACTATGTCTCACATGATGGGATTACAATCTACCACCACCACCACCACCACCACCACCACCACCACCACCACCACCACAGCCTTCTGGCCTGTTTCAGGTAGCAAATACACCAAAAAGTTTCCAGAGGCTGAGGAAGGCTTCTTCTTAACACAGAGCTATTCTAGTTATCGATATTCTGAGAACCTCTCTCTAGGAGGGAGGGAGCATTTCCCTGCAGCTGACACTGGCTTTAGGCTTTCCCTTCTCCCCATGTGGTATTTCTGGGGGGGGGGGGGTACCAGTTTCTTGGAGTCTACTGTTGCAGTCAGCTGACTCTTGACCAGGCCAGTTAGATTTAGAACACTCACCATATCTTTGAATTTTGTTTTTAAACACAATCTCAAGCTTTCAAGAAGGTTTATTTATTTTAAGTGCATGGGTGTTTTACTTGTGTGTACCTGGGTACTATAAGCTACAGAAGCCAGAAGAAGGCACTGGATCCCCTGAAATGAATTGCAAACAGAGCAGCTCTGGGCTTCTGCCACGTGGGTGCTGGAAACTGAACGGGGGTCCTCTGGAAAGCGGTAAGTGCTTTTCACCATCTCTGCAGCCTCCAAATCTCTTAAAGAGACACTGTATTAATAGTGCGCTTTTTATAACCCTTTGATTTTGTTTTTGAGGGGTTTTTTTTGTTGTTTATTTTTTAAAGATACTGTGTTCATGGGCTTAGATACAGCAGTTAAGCATTGAAATTTCCAAATTTGTTGTTGTTGTTTCTCAGAAAAGGAAGAGAGAGGAGGGGATGAACAAAAAGAAACTGGCTATTATTTAAGTGGGGTTTGCTGGTTTTATCTCCCAGAGGCGGCTTGCAAAGAGTCTGCCCTTTCTAAGCGGTCCGCCCCATCCTCGCCGAGCCAGGAAGCCGGGAGGCGGGCGAGCGCCCCCTGGTGGTTACCGCGGCGCCGCACCGAGGACCGCGGGGAGGGCGGGACCACGGCCGGCCCCGCCCCCG